CGGAGGGGAAACAGAGTGGTCTTCGTGTTATCGCACTGTCTGAACGCGTCCGGAAGGAGCGTACGAACGCCAATAGGCCGAGTCGTTTTGCGCGCCGAAGTTGTCAAGATTTGCCCACGGCCGGACTGGATCGAAAGGCTCGCGAGCGTTCCGTCTGGAACGCTGGCTGCCAACTACAGTATACGGCTATGATTGACACTCGTATGGTTTTAATATTTAGTGGCCCGAGGTGATGGCCTACGTTTTTCTCCCAGCAGATCTTGCACTTGTACAAAAAACATACTTCAAAACTCTAATCAAGCAAACATAAACAGCCATATTTTGTAGCACCTCCACAATTGTGTAAAGAGGTTTATTTGAAAGCGCCAGTCGACAATGGGCAATGGCGACAGTCAGGGCGAAGCAAGAAGTTTAAACAGTGAGGGTTAGTGACACTAATACGATTCAGACGTTAACCTCGAACATGGCGCCGAATCGGCAGCAACGTCAAACTTCCGACAGTTGGCAGCAATCTTGCATAACGTTTGTAGAAAGAACTGCGACCACTGGCATGAATGCTCGATGAAAACAGGCCGGTTAGCGTACGAACATGCTAGAGAACGTGCCGGGAAGCTATAAATGGATACTCAGGTCGACACGCTTCGAGAAATGCACTCGTTCAAGAGTACACTTCTCGAAATGGAGCGGTACGACCGGTAAATTTTTGGCGCAGAGAACTTCCCGGAGTCCGCAGCCGATTTATCACTGCAGGCACTGCGTGCACATTTTTTGTGTTGATAGATAGGAGCAGTTATGAGTGTTAAAGCTAAACAGCAGAGAGAGTACGCGAAAGCACCACAGATGTAACTGCTGAAAGGTCAGTAATGTGACGGCTGCCATCAGTAAAGGCATTACATCGTCCAAAATTTTCACAATACCATTTGATAGAGTGCTTTGGTTTCTCGCCCATGGTTCGCCCCGCCGCGGTGGTGTATTGGCTAAGGTACTCGGCTGCTGACCCGCAGGTTGCGGGATCGAATTCCGGCTGCGGCGGCTGCATTTTCAATGAAGGCGATAATGCTGTAGGCCCGTATGCTCAGATTTGGGCGCACGGTAAGGAACCTAAGGTATTCTAAATTTCCATACCCTCCTCTACGGCGTTTATCATAATCATAAGGTGGTTTTGGGACGTTAAAAATTCCACAGATTGGTCAATAATTCTTGTCCGTGGTTGATGCGAGGGGACATTGAAACATAGAACTGAAGAGCGCACTTTCTAAATGATGTTTCGACTTGTTCATTTTGCGAGGCTGTTCGTTAATCGATTGAACTTGAAAACAGGAGTGACAGTTAAAAAGACAGCGCTGCCAAAATAAAAAATAAGGAAATATTTGATGAAATAAAATGAAAGTAAACACTAACAGAACTGTATACGCACAGTGCAAGTACTACGTTGCACACTGGCGCAATGAAGTTGCACTGTGGTGGTTGCACCACACTGCACTGTGTTGTTTTTCTAGTGCAGTATCGCCACTACATTGCACTGCAATACAATGTAGTCGTCACGCAAACATAAAGAAAAAGCTTCGAATAAGCTGCAGAAACAACTGACTTGGCCAAGATTGTCACCTCTATACTCGAAACCGGTACTATAATTAAATGTACACATTCTCACGGAAATCTCTCCGGCTGGATAGAAAATTTAGCAAGTTGAAACAGCCCTCGCCAAGTTCGTAAAGAGCCTGACGTTTCGAGACCGATTGGGTTCCTTTCTCAGGGGGTGGCTGTGTTGGTCATGAAAAAAAAAAACCCGGGGGCTTGGTGAAACAACACCCGGCTTTGCTTCCTTGATCAACATAGTCAACGCCCTGAAGAAGAGGCCGAATGTCTACTATATGTGTACTGTAAGGTACCGGGTTGTGTCAGAATTGAAGAAGCGTTTTCAACACAATGATTTAACACCTGCTTACTCTCTCCTATTCGCAGAATCCGAGGCGACGCGATGTGCCGAGCCGTGCTGCTGGCGGCACTGGCCGCTCTTGCAGTGCTCGCCGTGGTCAGCGCCAACCGGGACGCGGACATCTTCGCCGAGTCTGACCACGAGGTCGTGTACCGCTTCCCGCGGGGAGCCCGGAGTGGAGGCTCCAGGAGCAGAGGAGGTGAGTGACAAGCCACAGCAGCGTCACTTCTCAAGCACATTACCTATAGGGCACTATAAAGCTTTTCAACGAGCTTAAGTTGAAGGGAGGTCTGGGTGCTCAATCCGTTAAGGGACGCATGAGTCAGATAGCGCCTGATAAAGCAAGCCGACGTGTGGGAACCGAGGGAATCAAGAAACTGATTAATTAAAATATGTTGTTTGAAGTAACGAAATTGGGATAAGGTTATGAGGGACGGCGGAGTGGACGGCGCCTAAATTTCCACCACCGGGCTTTTTTACGTGCAATCACATCGCACAGTGCAGGGGCTTGTACCATTTTGCCTCCTCTGAAATGGGACCGTAGTGGTCGCAAGTGAACCCGTGACCTTTGGTACAGCAGCTGAGTATCGTAACCACCGATCCACCATGGCGAATAGTGAAATTTAACTGTTAGCATTACTGTCGTGTTCGTTGAAAGATGCCTGGCGAAATCTTCAAGGACAAGTGTTTACGCGTGCTCGTGGGATATCTTATGTATATTAGAACGTCGACGTTCGTAGTTGTTGCTGTTTTACGGTATTCTCTAGGGCAGAGTTGCCGCTATCAGAGAACCAAATACAGAATTTCGACGAATGGGTTGTTCCCTGACTGGTGGTTCTAGTAATATCAAACATGCACCACCTCTTTTAAAGAGCAGAAAATCTCATTTGCTGGGCACACATGCAACCGACATGAGCTCGTTAAGCTACCGTGCTTGTACGTCACTACTGCCGCGTAGCAGTAGCATCCCTGATGTTAAAACGAGTTCTCTGCATGACTGAAGTGGTGCTCTGAAAGAATGCTGAGTGTGCTTGCGCGAACATGCGTGATCGCGGGGGAACTTTCGTCAGGTGCACCGAAGCAAAACTCGATGTTTCCTTGACACAAAACCTAGCCTGGTGGGCGTTGTGAAGTTCGGAGCATTGTAGTAGTGCGGCGATGACATACCTTCACGCCTCAAGATCAGCCACTCGCTGTTGGCGTGACCGCGAACAATAGCGCCTCGTGGCGCAATTTCGTCGCATTGGCCACTGGTCAATGGTTCTCATATGTTTTTGTTGCGACTGTATTTCAATCTAAAGATGATTCGGCGTGCAGGTAGTACGTAAGTGTACAGCGGCCTCTAATCTGTGTTAGAAGAGGCTATACGTAAGACCAGCAAAGGCGTTGCCAACCAGCTTATCGGGGTCGGTAATTAGGAGCAAGAAAGTAAACGAATGTGGAGAGAGATAATAGAGAGTTTTAGTATACGTGGCGGCGTTGCGTACGTAAGGACAATGAATGTGGAGAGATATAATAAACGAAGAAAGAAAGGAAAGCACGTACATGCAGGATTTAAAAAAAACACACAGAAAGGGCGTTTTGCTTACAATCGTTCAGAGATCTTGCTTGATCTCTAAAAACGCAGCAGCCCTTGCAGGGCTTTTCTCTCCGGCGTTGCATCCTGACGATCGACAAGTTTTTTTTTTTACTTTTTCAAGTATGATGAACGCCTAGAGTGGTTAAACACGCTTCGTAGGCCGAACAAGCAATTCGTGTTCATATACCTGTGTGCTCTACCTGATGTCCATGCAATTTTCTCTCGCTTACGCGCTGCGATGTCTACTCTGGCGCGCGCGCGCATCACGGCTTCAGTGGCAACTTCAAATTCTGCAGCCTGCTTCTTTCTGTCCCTGTGCGGAGCTGCTATGCAGAAAGCTTATTGTTGTCCTGAACAGCTGCGATTTATATGTATACGAACGCTCACTGTTATTAGGCAGTGTTCTTTTACCTTATTCAACTAATGTGTGCCAATTCTTTTCCACTGGCAAAAGCTGTTTTTTTTTATTCAATGTGTGGAACACAGCTGTCCGCTCTATAAGCAAAGAGTCAATACAAAATCTGAGCATGGTCTAAGCGAGCCAACAGTGCAACAGTGCAGGCCAATGTGTTCGTTCCCGTTACAACTATCGGCACGTTCTCGGCGCAAAGATTGAGTTAAATGTGCTCGTGGAATGAAATCACCGCATGAAATTCGAAAATGTAAACCTTCTAATGATTGAGAACAAATGGATAAGAACTTCGTAGCGTTAAGAACTTCGATCATTTTTGTTTCCCTACTTAACACCATTTGTCGCCGATATCGGCTTGCATAAGTCTGCCTCCTACTTCAAGTAAGCTGCATCCGTCTATCACCCAGCCATCCCTGTCAAGGTTAAATATACATGTTAGTGGTGCAGTTCTGGAAAATTCCTTCAAGCCCTCAGTGAAGCATACTCCTGTAAAAGCTGCCATATGAGTTCAGAGAACATGCAATTCGACGCTACACTCAACGTCGTAAGCCTCCCCGGCTTTTTTTTTCCCTCACGGAAGTCCACTGGAAACAAATACAGTAAAATGACATCTGGCATCGGTGCAGGCTCGTGTCATTGGAATAAAACTGAAAGTATGCTTCAACGATTTTAAATATTGTTTCAAACTCAAGGCTAAAGGCCCCCACCGATAGTTTCCTCGAGAGATAGTGTGAACCACACAAAAGTATATTCCAGCATTCATTACGGAAAGCTACACAGCTACCTTCCTAATGCACATCTCAATATGCTTACGCCTAGCGCAGGAGACTTGAACCCGACGGGGTCGTCTCCTTCCCGACGTGGCCTGCTCTAGCAAGAAACCATTCCTATTAACGCTTTCACCTGCTGATGTGCTTCTACAATGCTTCGGGCGTAGTAAAGACACAACAGAGGTCAAGATTCGACCGTTTCTTTCTTTCAACCTCACCTCAAGGTTCCAGTTACTCACCGTCTCCGGAGAAGCTCTTCCAGACCTTCTAGGAGCTCGTCAAGTGCCTCCAAAAGTTCATCTAGATCGTCATCAGGCTGGTTTTCATCACTCCTCAATAAACCAGGCCGCAGCAAGCCCTCTTTATCTGTGTACAACACTAGAAGACCTGCTCCATATCCCACAATGCCACCGGCGAGAATAGTACCGCCGAGTGCCCCTTACACCGGACATGGAAGCAGACCCGTGGCCCCCAGTGCTCCCAGTTACCCGGGACGCGGTGTGGCGCATCCTCAAACGCCCGGATACCGTCCACAGACGCCTAGTGCACCACCAATGGCACCTGGAATGGTAGTTCCAGGACAATACAGTTCATCGCAGTTGCCTGGGGGTGCCCCGCCTGCTCCTGGCTTCAGACCGGTGCTTCCAAGTGCCCCTCCCGCTGTGCTTAGCAATCCAGTTGGAAGGCCTTCTGTGCCAGGCCGTATATATCCGAGCCTTCCAGGTTACCTTGGTAGTCAGTACCCAGGACCCGCACAATCTGGTAACCCTTCGAACCAACATTCTGGACAAGGCCAACGCGGATACCCACCGGTCCAGTATCCCGGTGCAGGACATGGTCAGCTAGGGTATTCTGGTGGACATTATCCGACACCAGCCCCGGGACAACCAGGAAGCTTCCCAGGAGCAAGTAGATCAGCGACTAATCCCGCAGCCTCTGGACGCTCCTACACAATACGGCCGGTTCCAGTCTCAACTCCGAGGCCAGCCCCATATCCCACAATGCCACCTGTGAGATACGTGCCCCCAGGAGTCCCTCATCCAGAATATGCTAACAAACCAACTTCTGTGGGTTCTTTTTATCCGAGTCTGCCATCATATTCGAAGCACGGGGTCCCTTACCCTCAAGCACCGAACCGCCAACCGCAGGTACCAAGTGCACCGCCAATGCAACCGGGAAGGGTACCTGCGAAAAATATACCCCCGGGAGGGAGTCCGAGTGCTGTACAGCGCCTGCCCCAGTTTAAACCGATGATCCCTAGTGCTCCCCCTGCAGATCCAGCTCCTTCTCAAGGCTAGACATACGAGTTACGTTGGCGCTCATTATCAGGGAAGTAGCCAGCCGGGCCGCTCCATGGGTCAGTATCCTGGACATAGGCAAAATTCTTCAAGCCAGCACCCTGGTGCGAGTTACGGTCACACAGGCACCATGGGTCAGTATCATGACAGCCGGACAATTCCCAGTGACCACTATATAAAGATAATACAAACCACGATTAAATGACTCGAAGTATTTGAACGCGAACTTCCTAGGATTCTCCTTAGAGGGGGTTCCAAATTACTCGTATTATTCATATGCGTACCACAAGCAGTGGTGTCACACCTTGAAGGATTTTTATACACAAAGCGCATTTATACACATTACGACAGTGACTACATTTTTACAGGAGTAAATCAGCAAGTTTTGTGATTTAGCAAGTTCTTTGAAGTTTAAGAGTGCACAGCTGTGGCTTGTGACTTTTTGTGGAATAACACATTGAAGCCTTTGAAATCTTTTGGAAATTTTGCTATTTTTTGTGCCAGTCAGCTTCAGTAAGGTCATTGCGTAAGCACATAAGCGAGTTGTATCGTCACAAGGTCGAAATATAACATTTTGTGCATTTTATTTATTAACGTTACACTGGTCAACATCGATGTGCAGTTAGGTTACTCTTTATGAAAATATTTGAACCGCATATCTTGGTCAATTAATGCGGAGCAACACTGCAGGGTTAAGTAAAAAGGTAGACTTAAATTGTAGTGCACAGAGAAAAATTGTGTGTTTTGTTCCCGCTTATTTTCGCTTGAACTTGGGCGGTATGCTGGTGTGACCGTTGCCGAGTTTCATCCAATTACGAGAAGTGGCAGCTAAAGCAAAATGAAAATAAAAGTATCGTAATTTCTTCTTCAAAAGCAAGACTATGAAGTTGCCACTTTTTAACCTTACAACGCGTGAATTCACCTCCTGTGAATCACCCTGCTACCTGCTAATTTGCTTGAATGCTTCCGAATAAAAGCTTTGAAAGACAAGCATCACAAATTGGTTTCCGCTAGCAACATTTCATCGCTTCGTTGCTTGCTATTTTGTGCACAAGGAGCGATTACACAGCTTTGGAGCATAGTAAAGCGACCAGCAAGCGACTTTTCCTGAGTTAGTGAAACGGAACCTGAAGTAGCAAATCGGGCTAGTTGGAACATACTCATCACGATCAGCGCACAAAAAACACAAGAAAATGCACGAGACAAACGCTTCTGTCGTGCACTTGTGTGTTTTTTTTTGGCACTGATCGTGATGAGAACAAAACCTCACTTCTTTATGGGCTTCGCATTTGTTGACGAACAGCAGCATATCCTCAAGTTTCACGAATTTCTAGCGCTCTTGCTTTTACCGGCATCCAGCGATTGCCTCCATGACACTTCGTAATGCGAGAGCAGTTTTTTTTTCACTTTTGTCATCTATGGGAGACGCTTCCAGTGTCCACGTTATTTGAAATCGCCTGTGACAAAGCAATTGACTTCTTCACTATTTCGAGACTTTTCTCAGCGTGCCTGCCTCGACGTCATTTTCTACGCTCCTATCTTTCAAGTTTGCAAAGCCTCAGCCAATGTTGCTTTTACTTCTACTCTCAAAAGAAACCCTTCGGCTTTGCCTAGCAGGAATCTTGCGTAGCTCGAAGACTTTTTCAACGTGCCAAGCATCATCTTCCCCTAGGACTGCAACGCCTTCTTTACTTCGCCTCCTTCGACATCGCTCGCTTCCGGATATACCACAACCTTTCTCGGCTTCCTTTCTGCGACGCTTCTTGCTACGTACAATGTAACTCTTGCCAAGATTCAAGTCTTGTTTTCTCACTTTTTTTGTCTGAAGGTTCTTCGTCTAGGTCATCAGGAAGCTCATCTAGATCGTCCGGATCTTCTGGAAGTTCCTCCAGAGGTTCTTCGGGTTCTTCTTCCTCTTCCAGTTTGTTTTCATCACTGTTCAAGAGACCGGGAGGCGGCAGGCCGTCGAAACCAAAGCCATCCGGACCGATATACGTCACCAGAAGGCCCGCTACACAGAGGCCTACCCCAAGGCCTACCCCGAGACCTACCCCCCGGCCCGCCCCGTATCCCACTCAGAGACCCGCACCTTACCCGACGCAACCTAGGCCGGTGCCTCCAAGTGCACCGTCTTACCCGGGCCAAGGAGGTTCCTATCCCAATGTACCAGGTCACCGACCACAGACTCCCAGCGCGCCACCTATGGAGCCAGGAAAAATAGTTCCTGGTCAAGTCAACCCAGTGCAGCAGCCCGGTGGTGGTCAACACCCTCCGGGTTTCAAGCCGATGCCCCCTAGCGCTCCTCCTGCGGAGCCCGGGAACCCGGGCGGGAGGCCTTCAGCACCTGGGTATCCAGGTGGAAGCTACCCCGGTTATCCTAGTGGGCAATATCCTGGCCAGAGTCAACCAGGCCGTCCTCCGAGCCAGTACCCAGGACAGAGCCAGCCCGGCTACCCATCAGGCCAATATCCTAGCGCTGGTCAACCTGGCTACCCTGGGGGTCAGTATCCAGGACAAGGACAACCTCAGCCCGGCTATCCCGGCGGCCGATATCCTGCACCAGGGCAGCCGAGTTACCCTTATCCATCGGGGGGCCAGTATCCTGGTCAGGGAAGGCCAGGCTATCCTTCCGGTCAATATCCAGGTGCAGGTCAGAGATACCCTGGAGGTCAATACCCAGGTGGTCGCTACCCCGGAGTTAGTTATCCTAGTGGAGGAGGCTACCCTGGTGGTAGTTATCCGGGTGCATACCCGGGTGGTTACCCATCAGCCGTGTACAACCCCTATGTACCTAAAAAGCCAGGAGGCCTTCTAGGAACGCTCTTGGGCGGGAGTAGCTTGTTAGGCGGTGGTAAGAAACATCGTGGTCACGTGTTCGCGCCTGCGAATCCTTTGTATCGTGGCATGCCTGTAGCAACTGCGTACGGTGTCGAAAGGACCCTCAAGAGAAAAGGCATCAAGCAGAAGCATATCGCCACGGCGATCGGCGCTGCACTGCTGTACAAGACGCTGAGTCACCGCAGGAAGCGATGGAAGCCCAAGTTCTACGGCGGTTACTACGGTTCCGGTTACTACGGTGGTTACTACGGAAGACGACGCTATTACGGCTCTTCATACGACCACTATCACAACCAGACTTCGTTCGACAACACAAGCGCTGTTCCGTTCGGCAACATGACCGGTTATGAGATCATCGACAATGCCACCTACATAGGTAATATGGCTTAACTTGTGCAACATGCTCGTTCTTTATCTGGTATCTAAGAAAAGGGAACCTTGCTTTTTTTATCCTAAGCGAAAGAAAAAGCGTAAAAATACCCGAAATGTAAAAAAACAACTACGCGACGCGAGGCAGAATAATAAGTAAAAAACGGTAGAGGAACCTTCATATGCAGATTATCAAGAGAGGATCCCCGGCTATTCGGTGAAGGAGGATATGAAGACGAAGTCATAGTAAAAAAAAAAGTGACTTACTCTGATTTATCGGTCAATGACCGGTCTGTGTTTATCAAACAAAGTTTGTACAGTTGCACCGAGTTTAAATGGAGATTTCCGTAACAAGTACACAGATGCATGCACTGCTGTAATTCTTTCCACCATAACAAAAGGTGGTATTGAAAAAAACAAAAATAAGTAACTAATAAAGAGAGTGAGAGAAACAGAGCAATATGCACGATACGAACACGCAGATGGCCCACGCACTAAACCGGTTCAGTACTAGTTCGATTGCCGCCACCCCTTTAGTTTTATAGATTACTTATAATCTTACTTCACCCCTTTATCCCTTCCCCAGTGCAGGGTAGCAAACCGGATGTGCGTCTGGTTAACCTCCTTGCCTTTCCTTGCATCTTTATCTCTCTCTCTCTCTCTATAATCTTACTTACCTTATAGAGCCTTATATTCGGCTTGTTTTGTGTTTTGCATATTTACCAACTTGTTACAGTAGACGCGTACGCATAAAAACGGTTTGTTTGGTGCATACGATGTTTCGTGGCCTTAATAATTCTCGTTGCAATATACAAAAACAAAAAACATCGTCTTAACAGGCCATGATGGCAGCGCCCATTTGTCTTAAAGAAAGTGGTATATAGACTAAGCGAATCTGAATCTGACTATGAACTATAAAGCGCCAGCCGATGGTGACAAGTGATACAAGGCGTTTCCCATATGTCAAATATGTCTTCTCGCGGGGGGGGGGGGGGGGGGGAATAGAATCTGGACGCTGATTTCGGAATATAGTTTTTTTTATTCTATGGTTATGTTTTAACAGATAGTGAACGCATCCCCCCCCCCCAAAAAAAAGATATGCTTGGGACTAGTCACATCTGTGTAGCTCACCTATGAGGCAAATTTTAAAGAACACGCGATGAAGGCAGTCGTGTGCGAGCTAGAGGTCATGTTTGAGACTCATGACGTACAATATTTATTTTTTTTGGTTTTTTTATTTAATACATACTGCGGACACTAAGTGGTCCGAGCAGGAAGGGCACGTCACGCATACCACAGACGTAATGATGTACATCATACGAAAAACACACTTTGTTTTACACGCTACAATACACTTCATTATGTAACAACATAATATAATATGCAAGACGCTCTCAAGACATCCGTGCATAGTGGAGAAAATCCTCGTTCTCGCTAAATATTTAAGGGTTTCCTTATTATTTCGGTGCCGAATTTACGAAAATGAAGTAGCCGTGGTAATGTAAACCTGATATTTTTCACAGCTACCCCATTAAAACACGACGACGCTTCATAGAGTGAGGTTTCATACCGTTTATTTTTCCCTGCTCGATTTGTTTGTTTAGTTTTCGTGCGCGTGCATATAATTATGCGTAACACAACAAACGACAGCAAGGGAAGATGGAAGCTTGTGAGGAAGAAATCCGTAAGTGGTCTGTAAACCAGTCTGCATCCTTAAAGATGCTTTTTCGGGTCTATAATTAACACCTTACGATAAAGGTGTTTTGACGAAAAAAAATCGTACGATACGAGTGTTTTGAAATGCCAAAATCAAAACACCCACGCATGAGTGTTTTGAAACACCAAAACACCCATGACATAGGTGTTTTGGTTCGTGAAAACGCCCTTAAAGGCTGTTAAAGACATGGCAAATCACTTTTAAGGGTGCAAACTGGTGTAAAGTGCAGGGGTTGCGTCGAGCCGACGTTTACACTAGTGGACTGGTCTTCCTCGAGGCTTTTTAAACAGGCGTCGCGTCGAGCCGACGTTGTGTCGAGAATTGAGCAAGACAAGTCCGCTTCTCGAAACGTCGGCTTGACAAAACCTCAGTTTACGGGTACCTTTAGGCGTAACACAATAACTGACGCCCTGTCTCCTGTTACGCGCCGGTGTGCAGAGGAGTGTCGCTACAAGAAGGAGCCGTGGGAGGAGTGCGACCGTGCCACCAACACCCAGAAGCGCAAGCTGATCCTCAAGCGCGGCAGCGGCAAGTGCGAGCCCACCAAGGAGCTCACCAGGAACTGCAAAAAAGGTGAGAGTGGTCATGGTGATGCGGCTACGCAGAGTGCGCATGCGAGGATCTGCCCATCGCCTTCATTATTCACTTCACTCGATTTCCTTAAAGGGCCGTTTGCTTGAAAAAAAATTTAATGTCTAGTGCAATACCAGAAAGTTCGAGGTGGCGCGGAGCAGTGGCGTAAATTTAAAGAAAGACCATAAGGGAGAACTCACACCTTGCAATGGCGGCCATATTGTTTTTATACATAGGCTTCATTAGATGCGAAGAAGCTCTCTGACCAGCCTTTGTAACGCCATCCGTCTGTGTCTCCGTGCCTACGCGCCGCAGTTGTTGGAACGATGACAAGTAAGTCAAGTCGCAGCAGCGCCTAGACGTCACTGTCTCCCTCACCCACAACAGCTTCCGGCTCCTCCCAACACACCTAGGTGTTGTTGCTCCTCCACCCTCTTTCAACACATTTCGCTCTCGCTTCACCTTGTCCCCGGCCCGCAACGCTCGACCGCACGTCGAGTGGAAACACTTTTGGCTCGTTTATCTGCGATGAAACTAACACGAAACACAACCCGCCTACCGTGTATTTGCGCTCCAAAGGAACGTTTACTCAACTAAAGGCTACAGCGAGTTCCGCTGCAAATCGCTCTCCCAGCACCGGCGTCGATGCCCGTTTCAGCCGGGTCAACGGCGTGCGCAGCGTTGCTGCTTCGCATCCAGTCATAGTTATCTTCGGGGAGATGGTCCATAATTTTTCAATGGTGTTTCATTTGCTTTCGTCATATAAAATTAATGTTACGCATTCACGAATATTAACATGATAATACCACAAAACAAGCATGATCATTGGCTCCTGGTCAGAGGAAAAATCACTTCGTATTCAACAATATGTAAGCGACATCGCATGGAGAAGTTAGTTTCTAATGGCAACCAGAAGGCAGGCGCTAGCACTTTTCAGCTGCATCATTCAGGTTAAAGCATGTAATAAATATAATATCACCCTTTGTGCTAACGCATAAAGGTATTTCCCATCGTGTATACAGGCTAGAAGTATACTTTATTTTGTTCAACGAAAGGGCTTCAGCTTTCAGTGTTGGTTTTACGGAAATTTGTAGTCCTCGACTGTCAAGAAATTTAAATGGGACATTGGGAAAATAAATCTCGAAGGGGGACACTTGCATGGAGTGTTCGCCCCAGCCTGAACACAAAGGAAGTCCTGAACCCTCCCCCACCCCCGACTCCCCCATCATTTACGCGACTGGCCCGGAGCCGGTCACTCCTCACAACCACCAGGTGGGCTCCTAAATACAGGAGCCCATTGGCGAGCACTGCAACTCGTGCTCGGTTGACCTGGGCCATCTGGTTCGCCAGGCGGCAACGGCCAAGCAGGGCTGCCTCCCAGTCTTCTCGGTTGGTGTTTAGTTTTGAGGCGAGGTTCGGCGTTAATTAGCAAGTGTCCGTTGAATGGAAAGTGTCCGAAGACGTGTGCTCAGATTGCGGGCCGTGTCCTGTACAGGCAAGATAAGAGTATGTTAACACTTCTAGTCATTATTTTGGTCTGTTTTAGTGTAAAGCCGGAGAACTGTGCATTCTTCTGCCTTTGTAAGGCCATTACAGGGCCAATGGTACATTTGCATGGCCCTGTTTTGGGTATTACGTAAGAGGTGGTGCTTAATAAAATACACATGGATATACCAATAGCTTCTAAAACACATATGTGTTAAAAATGGCAGAGATGGCGTGAGGAAGAACGTTCCAGTATTTAGCGACTTGTACGAAAAATGAGGCTTGACATGTAGTGGTCCGCGTACGTGATAGTGCGACTTGAAGCGGACGACCAGTGCGATAGGATATGTGTAATCTACGGGGGAGGATTGAATCTACTGAAATAAAACATACGAAAAAGATGGAGGGCGGCAGCCTGTCAACAGAAGGCTTTTGCAAACTCGATTCCGCTTTCAAAAATGATATAGTGGTACCATATAAACGTGATATCATCCCAAACGTGGACCGCATATTTAGCGCACACACAATGCTGCAATTTAAGCGTACTTCCAATGCTCGGAGGATGCGAGTTCTGTTTTCACCAACAGAAAGGATGCCTTCCGTCGAATTCAGTTCATTTTTAAATTACATCACAATTACCACTGCTAAAGGCTGCAGTCAATGTCTGCTATGCTTTCCGTGGCCTAAATAGACAGTTATAGTATACCGGGCATGGCGGGATAGTGGGCTTACCGTGATAGCAGGATGGAAGTGCGCATGCGCAGATACGTACGTTACTCGTACCGCATACTGTATGCGCTATCTTTCAGATTAACGTTACCGTGTTAGCGTAGTGTACGTAAACATGGCGGCGGTTTCGGACGCCCGCTTCGAAATGATTTTGGCGTAGTTGTCGAAACATTCACTTCGTTCGCAGCAAACGACAGTTTAAAATGGCTTCGCTCGCCTTCAGTTATCTTCGATGACCTAGTATTATAGGTAAGTTGGCGTAATTCTTGAGAAACCTTCCCGTTTCGAACGTCTCTAGGCCTAACTAGAAAATCGATGTAAACGAATCGGCAACATTATTGCTTTTCATGTTTCCTGCATGGTTCATATTTATTTTCTTTTATTATTAACTAATATAAACTTGTAACAATGCTTCACGTGGCGACATAGGCAGACATTCCCGTTCTCTTTTCCTTTTCACTGTTCTTTTACTTATCAACCCTCCGATAGGTGGCGCTTCCATTACAGCTGGGGCACGTAAACCACATAAACGCTATTCCGCTAAACTATCAGACGCTTTCCGCAACGAACGTTTGCTGCATGGTAACGCCATTCTCTTAACCTACACTATCACGTTAACGGCAAACTATAACTGTCTGGTGTCTGTTAGGTGTACTGGGTTGTGTCTAACGAAGGAACAAATCCCTCGAAAAAGGTTCCCCTTTCGTTAGAGCTACCGATGGGTGAACTTGTTTGCGGGACGCAGTATGATCGCTTTAGAAGCACAGATATTTGGGCGAGTTTGTATACTGGTCGATGAAAGTGCTCTGGAGTGTGAAACAGACAAGATACAGGATAATTATGAAATACTATAGGCCAAGCACTCTTCCCGTTTAGTCCTGTGAGTATACCTTGTCTGTTTAGCGCTGCTAATTACCTTCGCAGAGCAGTATGATCGAACTTCAAACTTAAGTACGCCTTGTACTACTCAAGCATAGATTTCTTTTTTTTTTAACACTCGTGTATTCCCCTCTAATACTCGATGTTTTTTTTTAACATGCTACCATCACACACAGCTGATACGAGGAGAAAGAACTGTTTTCACATTTAGGATTCCTACATCAAATTTTGCTGTGTCTCGTGCTTTCTTCTTTTTTATTGCGTCCTGCGTGTCGATTGATTGATTGATATGTAGGGTTTAACGTCCCAAAACCACCATATGATTATGAAGACGCCGCAGTGGAGGGCTCCAAAAATTTCGACTGCCTGGTGTTCTTTAACGTGCACCCAAATCCGAGTACATGGGCTTCCAGAGGTGTTAGCTGCGACCGCCAGTAAATGAGGGGTTTGCCCCGTCGCACAGGGACTGGAAAACAGTCATGTGTTTCCAAGCCCGAAGCACATCCATCGCAGTGAAATGTAGGCCTTCATGAACACCACGGATTCCGATCTACTTTATATATGATAGTCGCAGTAGAACTAGACTCTCAAATGGTTCTTGTCTGACCATCTGGGTTTGCGTGGTGGCCATTGCTGTGTGTGCGTGCGCACCTATCGATTGCTACGCCCCTTTTTCTCAAACAATGTAGCAAACCGTGCAAAACCTGGTTTAACCTCCCAGACTTTATCTGTGAAACTTATACGCAGTAAGCTACGTACTGTGCGCTCATTATGGCGACAGCACTAGTGACCATTGGCGGCGTAGGGGAATCTGGCAAGTCAGTCAGCTGATCACATGTGGCGGTCGCATGTGGGGTGCAGAGGCCATCACCACCCGGATTGAAGCGGTCAGCGGCGCTAGTATATCGCACGGCTCCAGATACGGTCGTCTGCGTCGGGAAAACATAGTACGTCGCACAGCCGTGTCACGTTTCCGGGTGGCGCGCTCTGCAAAGGTCAGCGACTCATTCTGTCAGTGAAAGGCTGCTCACGAGACGCGGTAACGTGTTTCCGACATGAAAGGGCGTAGCAGCATAGCTTCTGGTCAACGCCACACGCGGAATAGTCAGGTGAGCTAAGTAGAAACGTGGCCTAAGGCGTCTTAGCGCGGCCTTAAAAGCTCCGAAGATTTTAGAAATTCATAAAGCTTCGTTGTTAGCAAGAACTGACACTATTGTCGACGATGTTCCAATTTTCGCCGCGGTTGTTGATTGATTGATATGTGGGGTTTAACGTCCCAAAACCACTATATGATTATGAGAGACGCCGTAGTGGAGGGCTCCTGAAATTTAGACCACCTGGGGTTCTTTAACGTGCACCCAAATCTGAGCACACGGGCCTACAACATCTCCGCCTCCATCGGAAATGCAGCCGCCGCAGCCGGGATACGAACCTCGCCGCGGTTGTTGCAGCAGGAGCTTTAGAATACCAGAAAGAAAACTTTGGCGCGCTCTGCCCAGGCGATCGCGCCAAAAGTGTGGGCTCGGAAACTTACGTACTCTTCGGTTCCTTTGGCGAAGCCGGGCTGCACTGCGACGGGAAGTTGCTGCCGCTGGCTGATCCGAACAGCTTGAGTGCTGTTTATATGACGTAGCCTCAAGTAAGAATAGCGAAGCTGAAAATTTTGCAGCGGGATTTTGCATCGTGCTGCTTCGCGGTTCTCGCAAATTTGCCGGCATCATTGTTACCTTAGTCAATGGTGACGGGCCGCTCTGCCATTGACGTCAGCCGTAACCTTTCTGTTCAGGTCGCGTGAATTTCCCGCATAACAAAGTTACCGGAAGTTTCCACTGGGCGCTGTTTAGGATACTGCGATAGTCCATGCCGCAGTGCTTCTACAAGCGAAATTCAGCTCCTGGTATGAGACG